CATGGCACTGCAGAGGGGGCACATGTGCGTGTATTTCACAGATGGTTCTGTCGACCCTGACAGGGAAGAGGCAGCGCTGGACCCGACCACAAGGTCACACACAAGGCTGCGACTCCCCCGACCACTGCAGATCCTTCAAGCTGACTGGTGGCGATTCAGCAGGCATTGTCACATGCCCTACGACATCGACTCCGACCTGTCCATACATGTTGATTCCACGTCTGCAATCAATGCCCCCTCCCATCCTCACCACAGACAATGTTTCACCTCATACATCGATCTGAGCATAATGAACAAGCCCTTACAAGTTCAGGGTAACAGATCGACATTGAACTGGATCCCAGCCATGCTGGCAGCCGGGAAATGAGGCGGCAAGAATGATGCAGCCAAGGCAAGCAACAGACTATTCCACATGGGGGGAATGTACGGGCCCAATCAGCCATACGACAGACCCAAACTGGTGGCTGCCCAGAGCCATGAAACTTATGGGGGAGGTCATAGTTGATACCCATCTCCAACAGTGGGACCGGACAGCGACTCCAGGAGAACCCCATCCCATATGTAGAAGCTGGTCCAGAGCGCATTGTACCAGCCAATCCATCGGAGGAGGGAGGGCCAATCAGCCAAGAATGGTAACAAGGCTGAGGAGAGATGTGCCAGTACTGTCAGCACGTTGTCCAGCGACCCCTAACACACTACTTCTGAGTGCGAAGTTACTGAGACACTCCGCAGCAAACTAGAGTGATTATTCCCTCCCGAAGAGGACCAGAATGACTGCGGCCACACTAGTGTACCATGGCGTCACGAACCAACAAGCTGTTTACCTGTGATAACGTCATATCCTCCTCCTCCTATTGTCCATAGTTAGGATAATACGGTGGTTTCGCTTAGATGCACCAGTTGAAACTGACCAGAAGAGTGCTTGAACAGCATATGTCGCATCATTGTTGAAACCTTTCTCCCTCGGAGCCAAACGGGTCACGCAAGATTGAGACCCGTGTGCCAGGACTACGGTCTTGGCGAACATTATACATACATGTATTGTTTGTAATGCTTGATAAAGCCTTCCTGGAGAGTGAAACGTTGTCACAATAAAAATGTCACATAGTTTGCACTTGTGTCTTTTACTTTACATCTTTTCCAATACCTCATTCAAGTATCTACCTCCACAACCACGACCATCAAGGACATAACCAGTGAATAGACAGTACAAGCTTCCACCTCTGCAGGGGTATACATAATCCCTTGTAATGACTGCAACAAATTATACGTGGGCGAAACATCAAGGGACCTCCAAACACGTATTTCAGAACACCAATACGCCAAGCAGTTCTGACGACACAAGAATGCCTGTTACAACAACCGTAATTCACACAACCCGCTTGATAAACTACAGAAACTCAAACTTATCGCCAAGAAGACAACACTCAATACGAAGAATCCTGGAATCATCACTTATTTTCTATTATCCGACAACTTCAACTAAAATAGTGGCTTCTAAACATAGCTGAACAACTTGCCAAGAAACTTCCCTTCCATCGCTATCCCACTTAAAACACAGGAATGGAAGAACACTGTAAAAGGTCTGCTCACAAACTTATCCAATCTCCTTTCCAAGCTACCCAAGATTTTAGACTCTATAACCCCACTCGGTACATCATCAGATGCAGCATTCTCCACCTGACCTCAGCTTTCCCTGAACCTGACTATAAATACTCGCGTCCCTTCCACCCCAGGAAGATCTGTTTGTGACTTGAAAAAGCCCACTGTGTGGGCGAAACGTTGTCAATAAAGGACCACATTATACTGCATATGTGTTTATATTTCCATTGTGTCGGTATTTTATACCATTTATTTCCATTGATCTATTTTAATTTGAAGTAGTTTAGTATTGAATTGAGGTTTTGTAAGTGCCAGTTTGCTAATTTTATAGATTTTTTTTATCAAAGTGGACTTTCTTAGAAAGCATAATGTCAACTATTTTTTCTGAAAATATTGCAGATAGAGGGGCCACAGATATATCAGATCACTTTTTAGTTGTAGCTACACTGAGAGTAAAAGGTAGATGGGGTACAAGGAGAATAGAAGCATCAGGGAAGAGAGAGGTGAAGGTTTATAAACTAAAAGAGGAGGCAGTTAGGATAAGATATAAACAACTATTGGAGGATAGATGGGCTAATGAGAGCATAGGCAATGGGGTCGAAGAGGTATGGGGTAGGTTTAAAAATGTAGTGTTAGAGTGTTCAGCAGAAGTTTGTGGTTACAGGAAAGTGGGTGTGGGAGGGAAGAGGAGTGATTGGTGAATGATGATGTAAAGAGAGTAGTAAGGGAGAAAAAGTTAGCATATGAGGGGTTTTTTTACAAGTAGAAGTGATGCAAGGGGGGAAGAGTATATGGAGAAAAAGAGAGAGGTTAAGAGAGTGGTGAAGCAATGTAAAAAGAGAGCAAATGAGAGAGTGGGAGAGATGTTATCACCAAATTTTTGTTGAAAATAAAAAAGTTTTGGAGTGAGATTAACAAGTTAAGGAAGCCTAGAGAACAAATGATTTGTCAGTTAAAAATAGGAGAGGAAAGTTATTAAATGGAGAGTTAGGAAGATGGAAGGAATATTTTGAGGAACTGTTAAATGCTGATGAAGATAGGGAAGCTGTGATTTCGTGTATAGGGAAAGGAGGAATAACATCTTGTAGGAGTGAGGAAGAGCCAGTTGTGAGTGTGGGGGAAGTTCGTGAGGCAGTAGGTAAAATGAAAGGGGGTACGGCAGCCGGGATTGATGGGATAAAGATAGAAATGTTAAAAGCAGGTGGGGATATAGTTTTGGAGTGGTTGGTGCAATTATTTAATAAATGTATGGATTGGAAGAGAGCATGCATAGTTCCTTGGTATAAAAGCAAAGGGGACAAAAGAGAGTGCAAAAATTATAGGGGGATAAGTCTGTTGAGTATACCTGGTAAAGTGTATGGTAGAGTTATTATTGAAAGAATTAGAATAGGATAGAATAGGATAGCAGATGAACAAGGAGGCTTTAGGAAAGGTAGGGGGTGTGTGGACCAGGTGTTTACAGTGAAACATATAAGTGAACAGTATTTAGATAAGGCTAAAGAGGTTTTTGTGGCATTTTTGGATTTGGAAAAGGCGTATGACAGGGTGGAGAGGGGGGCAATGTGGCAGATGTTGCAGGTGTATGGTGTAGGAGGTAGGTTACTGAAAGCAGTGAAGAGTTTTTACGAGGATAGTGAGGGTCAAGTTAGAGTATGTAGGAAAGAGGGAGATTATTTCCCAGTAAAAGTAGGCCTTAGACAAGGATGTGTGATGTCACTGTGGTTTTAATATATTTATGATGGGTTGTAGGAGAAGTAAATGCGAGGTCTTGGCAAGAGGCGTGGAGTTAAAAGATAAAGAATCACACATAAAGTGGGAGTTGTCACAGTTGCTCTTTGCTGATGACACTGTGCTCTTGGGAGATTCTGAAGAGAAGTTGCAGAGGTTGGTGGATGAATTTGGTAGGGTATGCAAAAGAAGAAAATTAAAAGTGAATACAGGAAAGAGTAAGGTTATGAGGATAACAAAAAGATTAGGTGATGAAAGATTGGATATCAGATTGGAGGGAGAGAGTATGGAGGAGGTGAATGTATTGAGATATTTGGGAGTGGACGTGTCAGCGGATGGGTCTATGAAAGATGAGGTGAATCATAGAATTGATGAGGGGAAAAGGGTGAGTGGTGCACTTAGGAGTCGTGGAGACAAAGAACTTTGTTCTTGGAGGCAAAGAGGGAATGTATGAGAGTATTAGTTTTACCAATGCTCTTATATGGGTGTGAAGCATGGGTGATGAATGTTGCAGCGAGGAGAAGGCTGGAGGCAGCGGAGATGTCATGTCTGAGGGCAATGTGTGGTGTGAATATAATGCAGAGAATTCGTAGTTTGGAAGTTAGGAGGAGGTGCGGGATTACCAAAACTGTTTTGTCCAGAGGGCTGAGGAAGGGTTGTTGAGGTGGTTCGGACATGTAGAGAGAATGGAGCGAAACAGAATGACTTCAAGAGTGTATCAGTCTGTAGTGGAAGGAAGGCGGGGTAGGGGTCAGCCTAGGAAAAGTTGGAGGGAGGGGTAAAGGAGGTTTCGTGTGCGAGGGGCTTGGACTTCCAGCAGGCATGCCTGAGCGTGTTTGATAGGAGTGAATGGAGACAAATGATTTTTAATACTTGACGTGCTGTTGGAGTGTGAGCAAAGTAACATTTATGAAGGGATTCAGGGAAACCGGCAGGCCGGACTTGAGTCCTGGAGATGGGAAGTACAGTGCCTGCACTCTGAAGGAGGGGAGTTAATGTTGCAGTTTAAAAACTGTAGTGTAAAGCACCCTTCTGGCAAGACAGTGATGGAGTGAATGATGGTGAAAGTTTTTCTTTTTTCAGGCCACCCTGCCTTGGTGGGAATCGGCCAGTGTGTTAATAATAAAAAAAAATTGCAGATAGTTTTAAATAAAATAGAACCACACACAAAAAAAGGAAATTTTTAAAAAATAATGAAAACTCGCGTTTTTATAGTTTTTAATTTTCACGAGTTTAGTGAACCTTTAAATTGCTGCACAACTTAATGCCTGTGTTCCTGTTTTCTACACTAACTTCTTCCAAAGATTTCGCTTGTAACTTTCGAACACCTTTTCCGATCGGCTTCAAATGTTCAACCCTGATCGTCTATTACCAGGTTTAGGTTGGTGGAACAATTGACAAGCGCAGATGTCTTTGCTTAATTTCATAAAACCTATTTACGATCATTTTAGAAAGCCTCCTCCTGTCCGGCTCCAAAATTTCAACACCGGTGTATCCTACTTAAAGACTGGAGAATGTAGGCGCCATTTGGTCAATTTTAATATAGAAATGTTAGAGTAATATTTTTGTATTACATGAGTGAGTTATGCTTCCTGGAGGACTGGGTCATGTAACAACCGCTACATCAGCTGAACATGTGGAAGATGTTTTAAGTGTGTGTTGTGTTGCAGGAACGTGTACAGCGTGTGGAGAACGGTGCTGGATGAAACAGAGAAGCTGGGCAAGGCGAGGCTGGCAGCAGTGGAAGTGTTCCAGCAGAACATCTCGGAAGACGCCAAACAGACCAGGTTGAACAAGATACACCTGGGCAAGAAGGTAAGAGATACCTCTCTCTCTCTCTCTCTCTCTCTCTCTCTCTCTCTCTCTCTCTCTCTCTCTCTCTCTCTCTCTCTCTCTCTCTCTCTCTCTCTCTCTTTCTCTTTTTCTCTGTCTTTGTGTGTATGTGTGTGTGCGTGCCTCTGCTGTGGGCGGTAGTCAGGGGATTATAGAGACTCATTAATCACTAAGCAAGTCACAGTGAAATAAGTCAGGGAACAGGTGGGGGGTTGTACCCATGGCAAGTGAGTCCTAAAACTCCGTGATTTATTTGTAGTCGTGTTATTACGATTTCGTGAGTCAAGTTGCACTGGTTATGAAGTTTCAATTTTCTTGAAATTCTGAAAAGTAACAATGAGTTTACAGTCAGGAAGTTAGTCACAAAACATTACAATGTAGTTATGTGTGATTATGATTTATTTACGAATTATTTACAGGAGACTTAATCAGGGTATTTTTCCTGGATTGCTGGTATTGTGCCACTGTGGATAAAATACTTTGATATATGCTGAACATTTGTGAGTGAATAGTTTATGAATTCATGTACTTTTTCGTGTTCCTACACGACAGTAGTTCCTGTGGTAAGGTTTCAATTGTTTGCATCTGCTTCTGCTGGTGATGCAGACTCCCAGGGCTATCTGGAGCCCAGCTGACGCCAGGCAGTAATGATATCAAAGAGTCTGCTGATTGTGTTGGTTATGTCATAGACATGAGGCTCGTCTTGATGGACTGGTGATACATGGACTGACTCTTGGTAATCTCCCTCTTTATCATGTTAATTACATTCACTGAAATTACTTTTGTAGTGTGTCGTCAACCCTCCATTTGACAACCCAGGTTTGTAATCCGCTCCCTCCTTGAAGACGTGCGACTTTATCAAGTTCTTTCTGCATGACTTAAGAAATCGTAATGACACGATTGCAAATAAACCATACCCCCGGCCGGGATTGAACCCGCGGTCATAGAGTCTCAAAACTCCAGCCCGTCGCGTTAGCCACTAGACCAGCTAGCCACAATAAGATTCATCCAACTAGGTATATTTCTACACCATAGGAAGGTTAGCACAGGCACCTCTGTGACCACAAATGCAAGTTTTTACAGACGAATCTCCAGCTAGCGTGGCCGTGACGAACTCTAGCTCAAGTCATGTTGACGGCAGTGAAGGGACTTGAGCTAGAGTTCGTCACGGCCACGCTAGCTGGAGATTCGTCTGTAAAAACTTGCATTTGTGGTCACAGAGGTGCCTGTGCTAACCTTCCTATGGTGTAGAAATATACCTAGTTGGATGAATCTTATTGTGGCTAGCTGGTCTAGTGGCTAACGCGACGGGCTGGAGTTTTGAGACTCTATGACCGCGGGTTCAATCCCGGCCGGGGGTATGGTTTCTTTCTGCATGATTGGCATTTTGGTAATACTTGGACATTCTAGGATGATCATCTCTTTCTGCATTTTTTTCGGGCTTTCTGTCAGACACAAGAGCAAGTAGGGTTGCGACATAGTTAACTCCTTATTTGATGTAAACAAAATACATTTTGTTAGGTAAGACACATATGCAACAGTTAGGTATCTTTATTTCGAAACGTTTCGCCTACACAGTAGGCTTCTTCAGTCGAGTACAGAAAAGTTGATAGAAGCAGAAGATACTTGAAGACGATGTAATCAGTCCATCACCCTTAAAGTTTTGAGGTGGTCAGTCCCTCAGTCTGGAGAAGAGCATTGTTCCATGGAATGAAACAATATGGAGATGAAGTGACAGGATGGAGCCTTATATAGCGCCAAGAGGTGAGACGTAGGTCACTAGAAGAGGTAAGAACTCAGATGCTGGGAGGTCAGGTCCCTCTCAAATCCAGCCGTTCTCACTAGTAGAGGTTGTCGAAGTTGATTGTAGGTCTGTACCAAGATACCCTTGTGTTGCAGTGTCTGACAGATTGAACATTAAAATGGTATAAAATACCGACAGTTTGTTAGGTAAGACACATATGCAACAGTTAGGTTGCATATGTGTCTTACCTAACAACCTGTCGGTATTTTATACCATTTTAATGTTCAAAATACATTTTCACAGTTCTCACATTAGTAAACTATCTGAGGTATAATCATGCCACAGTTCTCAGTGCTCTCAGTCTTTGTACTGACGACAATGTCTGATTACAACAAACCCAAACACAGGGACCTGAAATCCGAGATATCTGTACCTGTTACATATTCCAACCGAGACCCAGCATGAAACTGCATACGGTAGACCGTGATTCAGTGCAAGCTGTATGTACCTGTCAAGTACCTTCATTTTCTCAGCCAGTATGATCAAACCCAGGTCCTGACACGGCTCTAAAACATAGTTAAGAATGTTTTAGGTGTTGAAAAATTCGGTGGTGTGAATCATTATAACATCAGTAAAGCTAATCATATGATGATCGGGATGGTTAGGCATACCAACTGGGAGTGTATTAATTATAATATTGAATACGGTTAGATTGATAACACCTTCACGTGGAATTCTTAATTTAAAGTCTTCAGTTGGGTTAGAAAGACACGTTAGCGAACACTAGGATATTTATTAGAAAATGTTTCGGTCCTGGAGTCTTAATCACTTCTAACACACCTCGGCCAAGACTGCGGGACTGATTACCTCATCTTTTGTATATAATTCTATGTTCTTCACATTATGTCCCCTCGCGAGGGGCGAGGGGCTCTTGATCTAGGGAATTGGATCTGTGCTCCAGTTCCCTGAATTGAGCCTGAATACCTTCCATCCCCCTCCTACATGCGCTGTATAATCTTACGGGTTTAGCGCTCCCCATGATTATAATAATAATTCACATTATGTCCTTGTATTGATAAAGCCACTGAAAAAAAACCATACCACGGGCGGGATTTGAACCCGCGGTCAGTCTCAAAACTCCAGACCGTCGCGTTAGCCACTGGACCAGCTAGCCACAATAAGATTCGTCCAACTAGGTATATTTCTACACCATAGGAAGGTTAGCATATGCACCACTGTGACCACAAATGCAAGTTTTTACAGACGAATCTCCAGCTAGCGTGGCCGTGAGGAATTCTAGCTCAAGTCCCCTCAAAGCCGTTAACATGACTCACGAAATCGTAATGACACGATTGCAAACAAACCATACCACGGGCGGGATTTGAACCCGCGGTCAGAGAGTCTCAAAACTCCAGACCGTCGTGAGTCGTAAAGCCACTGGTTAGCGAAACATCTGCAAATAAAGATACCCAGGTGTTGCACAGGTCTAATTCTTCTTCAAGGTGGATATGCAACAGTACACGCTCCTTCCATGCATGAAACTGTGTAACCGGGGAAGGCAGAAACTGTTTGATTCTGTGATGGGACGAACTAGTAGTATCCTCTCAAATGTTTTACACAAGCAGCTAGTAAAGATAGTTGGCGAAATGCATTTTGTTAATTGAGCTTAAGAATGCGAATGATGAAATTATTTGTCCAAGGCTTCGGGAGAGCTCCCTATGTTGCGTAGCTTAAGTAAAGGATTTTCTGGTACTTGAGAGAGCAATCCTAGTGTGTTGTAAGTGTTATCGTCCTCCCCAGAGAAAAAAATGTGCAGCGTCGAGTTCAAAATAAGTGAAAATGATACTTCAATTTTCGTTCTTGTTGATCATGGGACGAACAAGTCTGTTCCTGGTATCATACTTCACATATAACATTGTGTTAATACGTAAGTTATTATAGCATGATGTAACAGCTCAAGCATCGACTAATTCGTTCACACTGTATAGAGGATGCGGTTGAGAGACCTGACCAGTCTCGTTACACTTAATTCCACTTACATTTCTCCATGTCTGGCTAAGTGGAGTGTGAGCATTAAGTGTGAGCATTAAGTCCATTGACAGACGTTTCCCAGTTTATTTGCCGAAGCTCTGACATACGATCCCTGGCAACAGCGAGGGAAGTCTGGAAGACCTGAAGCATTTAAGGGTATGTTATTATTTCTATAGCCTAGGCCTGTTCTATAGTCTAGGCCAATTTTAATGCTCAGAGTTTAGAATTGTTTTAGTATATATACTTATTATAGTAGTTAGCTGAGTTTGAAGTACAGGGGGGGGAGGGGAGGAGGGTCTGAGAGGCTGTTTACGTAGCTCTAAATAATTTTGAATGTTACTTACAAGGTCATTCATTGTTTAAGGTCTCAAGAGAGAAACATTCATAAGAATTTTAGCAATCCGTAACATGGGAGACATAATTATGATGCGTTTTCTCTTGTCTTTTCAACCTTGTATGATAGTATTACAAATTGGTTCATAAAGACACGTGAGCAAAAACGTTTCGGTCCTGGGACCGTAACGTTTACTAATAAATATGTTCTAGTGTTTGCTCACACGTCTTTTTGAAGCAGTTTGTGGGAATCGATTACCAAGGTTTATACCAGTACTTCCAAATATATATTGCTTAGTATAGTGGAATAAAGTGATGATATATGTGTTACAATATAAGACTCACAGCTGCCGAAGGAAATGCTGTAACCAAGATTTAGATAAATATCTCTGATAAATTAGACACATGTGCAACTCTTGGGTATCTTTATTGAGGAAACGTTTCGCCACACAGTGGTTTCATCAGTCCATACGTAGGAGAAACTTGAAGAACAGGAGGAGAATGAGGTAATCAGTCCCTCAACCTTGAGTCGATGTGTTCAGTCCATCAATCTTGAATAGAATACGGTATTCTATTCAAGATTGATGGACTGAACACATCGACTCAAGGTTGAGGGACTGATTACCTCATTCTCCTTCTGTTCTTCAAGTTTCTCCTACGTATGGACTGATGAAACCACTGTGTGGCGAAACGTTTCCTCAATAAAGATACCCAAGAGTTGCACATGTGTCTAATTTATCAACATATCGGTTCTCTGAACCATTCATCTATAAATATCTCTGTGACAAAATGCATGACAAAAGTTACGTATCATTATAACTACTAAAAGATGAGTTTCCAACGACAGTGGATTCTGACATCACCAGCTGGAAGG